CATATGCATTGGTCATTTAATATTTTTCCCAATATGAAACTTATACAACCTCGATAAACTTCTTACCTGTGTGTATACAAAAAGCAGTCTCCTCGCTAGGCAAAAGTTTAGCTGGTGTGAACCAGGTTTTTAAGAGAAAGCTTGTTATAATGAATAAATTGAAATGAAAAAATGAAATGGCTAACTGCCATACCCGTTGCATGTCTTCATATTTGACCACCAAAGCATTGGGGTTATTTTCTAAAACTTCCATCCAATCCGCAACATGGTCGAACCAAGATCCGTACACACCTAATTGAAAGAATGCCATTGCAGACATTGCATTTATCCTTTGATGTTTAACAATATTTGAATACATAATAACTATAAGCGGAAAAACGGCCTAATTTCGAATTTTCAGTATCAAAATAAAACCAGTACTGTGTTAAATAAGCATTATTTGACAATAATTAATAAAATATTTATATGTTACTGTTTTAAGAAAATAATGAATAATGCGGCATGAGTACTGAGAGTTAAGAAAATGGAACGGAAGACAAAATCAAAATCTGTTGTCACATTTCACGCCGAAAATGGTCTCCATTTGGAAAAAATTTTCAAAAAATTTGTTTTGGCCAGATGCTAGTCAGGGAGCATGGGGCAGTTGTGAGAATACTGGAATTTCAGCAAAAATGAAACATCTTAACAAATGCGTTTAAAATTTCCATATTAAATTATTCATTCTTGTGTTATGAATAACGTTTTCTAGAGAATACTCTATGTCGACAAAAATATATATTTACATGTATTTTCGTCTATAGTTAAGTCGAAGCACCCATTCCAAGTTCCATCATACCCCGACCCTACGTTGTTTTTCACATGATAATATCCAGACACGAAGGCGTCCTTCGGATTCCGTAGTGTGTAGATAATCTTAGATTTCTTCAATGCTTCTTCTGGAAACAGCTTCAGCGGCACATGTGTATCTAAAACCCTTGGCGACGGCAGTTTTTCCAGGGACTCCACAGCGCACGCCTCCGGGAACATGGTGCCTTCTTTAACAGTGTCAGTGAGTTCTTCCCGATCCGTCATGAGGAGTTTGACCACTTCGTACACCCAATGTGTTCCTAATAAGTAGTTCATAGACATACAACAGCAAATTTTCATATGACAAAAATACATTCTGAGAAAACAAAATTATTTAAATTTATAAATATCATAAATATGGTATTTTGTCAAGAACATAGCACAGGTGTTTAACTTACTTAGTCCCCATTTTACACTTGAAATAGCCACCTGTTTGCTGAGTATGCTGATTAAAGATGAATAGATTCTAAACTCGTCCTCTCTCTCTCTCTCTCTCTCTCTCTCTCTTTCGGCGTTTGTGTGTGTGTGTGTTTGTGTGTATGAGAGAGAGAGAGTGAGTGTGTGAGTGTGTGTACCTGATTTAGGCCAGTTAACTATCCAAACATCATCCTCACGAGCGTGAAACTTGTCATAATTGTTTATGTTACTTTCTACAAGAGGAAACGGCGGTAGGTGAATTCCCTTAACGACGACTGCACTGAAGCTATTCCCCTCGCTGTCTGTCAACTTTATCCTCTTTCCTGCTTGTCTCCAACCGAGCACCACTGATTTGACCATATTACGAACTTCGGGAAAGTGGTACAAGTCCATAACAAGAAGATATATTGTGCGAAAGAAATTTTTGATTGACGCAAACACCATTGTGTCAGCTGGACTGAAATATTGAAAAGAAGTACCGCGGTAAGTCTATTATATGCTCCTGACAGATGGAAGTAGTGGGTGCATGGTGGTTGGGAATGGGGGTAGGTGAGGGGAGGTGGTCAACGGTTGTAGATGTTTATGCAAAATTTTACCTGAAAGTAATAAGCACGGCATTTACTAGACAAATTACTTCTAGGCATAAATAGGCCTATTATTAGAGCTCAATCCCACTGAAACTATAAGTCTACGTAGATCGATACAAATCCAAGGGGATTCGCTGAATGCAATCAGCATAACAGATGAACACCACTCCCTTTGATTTAAACGTACTAGTACAGTACACTTGCCAGCTTTTCTGTATTCTACTCAGCGCCAGGGGGGGGGGGGGGCTGAGGAGAAGTATTGAAATCTGCTGATCTGATTGCATTCAGCGAGAGTTCTCACGAAGTTAGATAGATCTACACAAACCGATGGTTTCATTGGGAACGAACCCTTGTTTCCAACGTACTCGCATAATCACCGGCCTTTATATATTCTACCCAACGATAGGAGGGGGCGTGTTAATCTATCTCACTGATTGCATTCAAGTAGTGTCCTCAGAGTTGGGTCGATATACGTAGACCCACAGTTTCACCGGCCCCTTACAGATATCCAGGATAGTTGACATCCCCTGTCCCCGCCATGCAAAGGAAGTAATAAGAATTAATGGCACAAGTGGTGTTAACTGTGCCGAACTAAGTGCATGAAACAGTATTCTGATCGCCAAAGTGTGTGCACTGACTCTCCCTTGAAAAGGTCACCGAACGATGCCTGAATCTGCCATTTTGTTTTGGAAAAGCAGAGGGAGTGCTCCCCCCACTGCATCCCCTGGAATCCTCTATGTATATACTTAATCTGTTATCATGGCATAAGTAAGATATCATTAGAATTTCGTTATTAACGCCTTACATAAAAGAATGTTCAATTAAGGGTTAAGTGGACAAAGGAAAAAATAAAGTCCAATCCTGGATCTTACTTTGGAACGGAGATCACAAACGTTTCGACCTTTCACAAGGCCTCCTCAAGGTGAACTGTTTTGTGTCACTTGTGTCACATGGTCACAGTCTGCCGGGAATGTCTCCCATGACCCGGTCCCACAGATGTCTGGTTGAGATGTAGTGATTATCTCTGGCCGCCGTGCTGGTTCAGGGCGGGTTGTTCAATCCGATCATGAATCAGAATGGTCTCTTTCAGTCTGAGCCAGTCCGTCTCTTTGACGAGTATAATGTTTTTGGTGTCAAAAGTATTAGAGGGGTGTTGTTGGTGCGTGAATACTGCAGAGTCATATATAGGTCACTTGAGCTACAGCGCCTGCGTTCTGCTTTAATATTATACACCCCATTTCCATAGATTAGATCGACCTACTTTAGATCGACCTAACTCCCTGGGGGTTCACGCTAAATAGCTGTCAGCCGGGCGGACACGAAAGTTAATTACCCCTTATAGCTTGTAGTAGGCGGGGACGGACACTTAAGGGGGATTATCTGACAGTAATCTAGTGAGACTCCCCGCGGTGATAGATCGATCTAAAGTTGTGGGAATAGACCCATAGACTGTTTTGATTCCCCCCACACGAGTCCTGCAGTATGCAGGTCAAAGTCCTTACACTTTACACCGTTACTTTTCTTCAGGTATTTTATTCTCAGCATTTTGTCTTTCACATGGACTTACTGGTTTCTTGGGTGTGTTGTTACAAAACCAATGTGATTGAAAATTTCCCTAAGTCTATTAGACAGATTCTTTACGAAGGGGAGGCTTACTCACGCAGACCCTGCAGACCCGCAGACTACGTGACCCCGGTGACAACTCAAAATCAGTTCACCTTAAGGCCTTGCAGTAAGTTCGTGATTTCCGTTTCAACGCAAGACCCACTGTTAGATTAATTTTGTTGCATTACCTTAGTTTAAAGTACTGGATGAATCAAGAATTTCACTTTGAGGTTCGAAGGAAACCACTATAGTATAGTCTCGTGCACTTACCGAGTAGGCCTACCTGTTGATTGAATACTTATTTGTGAATGCTTTTGCACAAAAGAAAGACACCGATAGTGAGGCTTTTTAAGAAAACCGTACTTTAGGTTCAAGGTCAACTCTTTTTGTCGACATTAAAAAATGCTAATCATTCTAGCCAAAGATCTTGGAAATGGCGTGATTAAAATTTATTGATCGATAGATTAATTGTCTCTATTTTTCATGAAGTTTATCAATTAGTTTATTTCTGCAGAGGTACATGTAAATTGTTAGCCACTTTTCAATCACCCTCAGATGCTAATTATTACTTGTTTTATAGTTTTTGCATGGGTTTGTTTTGTATTGGCCGGAAGTAACTCGCAGAATTAATAGTTATAATCCTCAGCCGGTAAATAGTGAAGAACTACGACAGGCAAATATCACTACCTAGAATCATATCCCCATCCGAACTCTGAGAAACTTGTCACAGGGTATGCCATGTAGGGTGAGGGCGCTCCAAGCGGCTGCTGGAGGTCATACCCGCTATTGATTACTATTCGTTATTAACTGTAATGAGTTATTTGACTGTATAGCATATTACTGTCCGGAGGCCATAATTTTCTTTAATATTTCAGCTTAAAGTTAATACTGACAACAAAGTGTTGATATGGTTTTCTGGGGGTGTTCTTTTCTTTTGAATAACAAATTATATTATTTGATATCATTGACCAAAATATCTCACATTAGAAGACTGAATACTATTATCACTCAATGACATTTTTTTATTAATAAAGCCAAAAATTTTAATCTGCACCCAAAAATAGCAATGATAAAAGAAAATATTCCATATAAAGTATGAACCCTGCAGGCAAAATAGTTACTTGGATTGATAATAATTCCTTTATAAACGTTTTAACAGTGGCATCTTCCCTTCGTCATCTGCATTTAGAAAGATAGATACTTCACAAGATAAGTTAACAATAAAAATACGGGTAAAGAAATGTTTCTTATGTTCAAGTTAAACTTAACAGTTTAAAATAAAATAATTTTATCAAAGTATTACTGTTCTGACATTTATTTTTATTGCAGAACTTCAGAGCATAAATTGTGTGCTCTCGCTTGCACCCTACATGTATGTGAGTATAATCCTTTACATTGTTGAAAATCCATGAGTATTAGACTCGTTCTTAACGTGGGAAGTTCTGGAGCTCGTGTTGAATTTTATAATAATTTATGACAACGATGATTTATTCTAAAATCAACAACACATGCGATAAAGCTCTATATTCCACGTTTTCAATACCTATTTCACAGAAACATGGTTCTCGGAATGGTTTTGTAAGACCACAATTTAAAGGTATACTATGCGCATTTTAAAACTTCCCAAAATCACATTTAAGTATAAATACCCTGCAAACCGCCTATTTCCCCCAAGCTACATGTAAATAAGTAGGCCAAAACTAAGCGATGCCGATTTATCTTTCTAAAATGAATAATTATTGAATACGAATTGGCACAAACATCTTACTGGCTCAAGCAATGGTCCGTAAGTTCGTAAGAGAAAAACACTTTTTCTCGACTAAAATTAGATTTGGTGCGAAAGTATTGTAGAAAACATCTTAAAACCCTTAGATGAACAATTATGAAAACGTGGCATTGACCTATACTGGTAAATTTTTGGCCCAAATACATTCTTCAGAGCTCAAAGTCAACGCTCACTCTAAGTTTATTTCGCTTCTCGTTGAAGATGGCGTTAGATTTTTTGTTTTGCGCTACAGTGAAATGGTTCTTCCAGTCACCAACAATACCTACAAAAAGACAAAAAATTATTATAATAAATAAATGAGAATGTGTTTTTCTAACGAACATGACATTAATAGTCTATAACTTTACAACTAGAAATTATTAGAATATGAGAGTTGCATGTGCCTGCTATACAAAAAGACGAATCAGCTTCTCGTGCCTTTTCTTTACACGCTGCCTCCTGGCTTCCAGAAAGACTTCACCTCTTTTTTTGCTTTCTTCATGTGCCCAAAAGAGCACTTTTTAGTCACATTTTCATAGACCTCTTCGGATTTGGAATAACCTAGAAATTCTGCAATGCGGCGTACCTCTTTCTTCAGGTTCTAGAAATTAAAAAGAACGTTTTTAGGGTGTTTTTGTTTATCTCTGTCTCTCCCTCTCTTACAAACAAGTCACTGGAACATTTACTTTTTAAATAAAAGTTCAAACTTTCGGATAAAATGCAAAACACTTGACAGATCCCTGACCTTCAATAATATTAGTCCGATGATTTGGACTCTATCAGTATGAACGTTAGGATATATTCATTGGTCATTTAATATTTTTTCCCAATATGAAACTTATACAACCTCGATAAACTTGTTACCTGTGTGTATACAAAAAGCAGTCTCCTCGCTAGGCAAAAGTTTAGCTGGTGTGAACCTGGTTTTTGAGAGAAAGCTTGTTATAATGAATATATTGAAATGAAAAAAATGAAATGACTAACTGCCATACCCGCTGCAAAGCATTGGGGTATTTTCTAAAACTTCCATCCAATCCGCAACATGGTCGAACCAAGATCCGTACACACCTAATTGAAAGAATGGCATTGCAGACATTGCATTAACCCTTCTGTTATTTTTTAGGTTAAAAAAAAAAAAAAACAGCCTCATTCTAAAACGTGTCGAATTTTCTGTATCAAAATAAAACCACTATGTTTAAAAAGCATTATTTGACAATGATTAATGAAACATTTATATGTTACTGTTTTCAGAAAATAATGAATAATGCGGCATGAATATTAAGAGTTAAGAAGATGGTACGGAAGACAAAATTAAAGTCTGTTGTCACATTCTCGCTGAAATTTTTCTCCGTTGGAAAAGATTTTGAAAAGGTTTATTTAGGCCAGATGCTTGTCAGGGAGCATGATACATAGAATACTGAAATTTCACCAAACATAAATCTTTTTTTTTTCAAATGATGTTTACATTTGCATATTAAAGTAGTCATTCTTGCGTTATGAGTTACATGTACATTTTCTAGAGAAAACTTTCTTTCGAAAAAATATATATTTACATGCGTTTTCGTCTATGGTTAAGTCAAAGTACCCATTCCAAGTTCCACAATATGATGTTCCGCCTTTGAGGTTTTTCCTATGATGATATCCAGACACGAAGGCGTCCTTTGGATTCCGTAGTGTGTAGATAATCTTAGATTTCTTCAATGCTTCTTCTGGAAACAGCTTCAGCGGCACGTGTGTATCTAAAATCCTCGGCGACGGCAGTTTTTCCAGGGACTCCACAGCGCACGCCTCCGGGAACATGGTGCCTTCTTTTATGCTGTCAGTGAGTTCTTCCCGTCCCGTCATGAGCAGTCTGACCACTTCATACACCCAATGTGTTCCTAGAGAGAAGTCAATGGACATACAACGCTCGGTAAATTTTCATATTACTAAAAGGACATTCTGAGAATTTTGTACCATTGATTAAAACAAAAGTATTAAAAAATATAATTTCAAGAGATTAACTCTTAAGAAGGAAGTATGATGAATATATTGATAAATCGTGTATTTTGTCGTATATTGCATAGGCGATAGGCGTAATAAGACCCCGATTCACACTTGAAATAGCCAACTATTTGCAGAGTATGTTGATTAAAGATAAATAAGATCTTACCCGCTCTTCTCTCTCTCTCTCTGTCACGGTGTGTGTGTGTGTGTTTGTGTGTGTGTGAGAGAGAGAGAGAGAGAGAGAGAGAGAGAGAGAGTTTACCTGATTTAGGCCAGTTCACTATCCAGACATCATCCCCACGAGCGTGAAACTTGTCATAATTGTTAATGTTACTTTCTACAAGAGGAAACAGCGGTAAGTGGACTCCTTTAACTTCGACTACAGCCAGGCCATTCCCCTCGCTGTCCATTAACTTTATCGTCTTTCCTATTTTTCTCCAACCGAGAATCATCACCTTAAACATACCCCGAACTTCGGGGAAGTGGTACAAGTCCATAACAAGGAGATATATTGTGCGAAAGAAATTTCTGAGTGACGCAAACACCATTGTGTCAGCTGGACTGAAATATTGGAAAGAAGTAAGTCTACTTTATGTCCCTGGAAGTTTGAGACAGTGGGTGCATGGTGGTTGGAGATGGGGGTGGGTGAGGGGAGGTAATAAAAGAAGTTTATTCAATTTTTTTTTCCTGGAGGTAATATGAATGGCGTTTACTAGACAGATTACTTCTAAGCCTAAATAGGCCTATTCGAACTTTTTCCCCTTGAAACTATCGGTCTACGTAGATTGATACAACTCCAAGGGGACTCTCGCTGAATGCAATCAGCTTAACAGATTAACATGTCTCCGCTTGTTTCCAACGTACTCGTATAATCACCAGCTTTTCTATATTCTACTCAACGCCAGAGGACGGCTGAGGAGAATTATTGCTATTCTGCTGATCTGATCGCATTCAGCGAGAGTTCCCGCTGAGTTGGATCGATCTACGTAGACGGATTGTTTCATTGGGAATGAGCCCTTGTTTCCAACGTACTCCCATAATCACTAGCTTTTATTTATTTATTCTACTCTACGCTAGGAGGAGGTGTGCTCATCCGTTTAACTGATTGCATTCAGCGGGAGTCCCCACGGAGTTGGATCGATAGACCCACAGTTTCCTCGACCCTTTATAGATACCACCGTTGTATCCAGGATAGTTGACAACCTCTACTTGCCATGCAAAGAAAATGTTAAGAATAAATGGCAGAAGTGGTGCTTATTCTGCTGAACCGAGTACATGAAACAGTATTCTGATCGCCGAGGGGTGTGTTGTACTAACTCTTCCTAATCCGTCATTTTGTTTTGGAAAGGCATCCTCTGGAATGCTGTTTGTATATACTTAATATGTAACACTGACATAAGTAAGATATCATTATTAGAATTTCGTTTTTAAACCCCAACAAATCGTACATAAAAGTTTATTCAATTAAGTGTTAAATGGAAAAAATAATGTCTGATACAGAATCTTACGTTGGAATGGAGATCACAAATGTATTTTGACCTTCTCAAGGTGAACTGATTTTCAGGTGTTTCCACTGTCACGTGGTCACGGACTGCGCCGGATGTAACGCATGACCAGGTGTAACGAAACTGAGGGTCCATGTAACAGAGAGCCCGCCCTCCATATAGTTATAATGGTTAGGGTTAGCTTGACCTAAGTAGGTCAAAATCTAGGGCGAGGCTCACCTGTACAAATGAATGGGAAGCGGATTCTCTGTTATGGGGGACTCTCTGCCACGTTACACCGGTCCCCCAGATGTCGGGCTGAGATTTGGTGGTTGTTTCTGATTCAGGCCACCGTGCCGGTTGAGGGTGGGTTGTTTAATCTGATCATGAATCAAAATGGTCTCTTTCAGTCTGAACCAGTCCGTCTCTTTGACGAGTGTAATGTCTTTGGTGTAAAATGTATCAGAGGGGTGTTGTGTGTGGGTGAATAATGCAGAGACATATATGTTTCACCTGAGCTACAGCGCCTGCGTTCTACTTCTTATAGACTGTTTTGATTCCCCCACACATGAGACTTTGCAGTCACTACAGGGGACTGTCCTTACACTTAACACCCGTTACTTTTCCTCAGGAATTTTATTCCCAGCATTCTGTCTTTCACATGGACTTACTGGTTTCGTTGGTATGTTAAATGGATTATAATCTGTTACAAAACCAATGTGATTGAAAGTTCCCCTAAGTCTATTAGACATATTCTTTATGAAGGGGAGGCCTACCTACACAGACCGTCACTACGTGACCCCGGTGACAACTCAAAATCAGTTCACCTTAAGGTCTTGTAGTAAGTTCGTGATCTCCGTTTCAACGCAAGACCCACAATTAGATTAATTTTGTTTCATTATTTTAGTTTACCTGTAACTGAATGAACCAAAACTTCACCTTGAGGTTAGATAGACAGTATAGTATAGTCTCGTGCACTTACCAGGTAGGCCTACCTGTCGACTGTTCTGAATACGTAATGTGAATGATTATGTACAAAATAAGCCACGAATATTGAGGCTTTTTAAGAACACCAGTACTTTAAGTTCAAGGTCAACTCTTATTGTCGACTTAAAAAAAACTGCTTATCATAGTAGTCAAAGATCTTAGAAACGGCGTGATTATAAATTATTGGTCGATAGTTTGTATCTGTTTTTCATTAAGTTCATCTGTTAGTTTATTTAATTTGTGCAGTGGTACATGCAATCACCCTCAAATAAAAATTATTACTTGTTTTATAGTTTTTAATGGTCTTAAAAGCGGTAAGGCCAATTAATGACTAAAGTCCTCCTGTTCTCAAATACGCATAGGCTAAATAATCAATATACTGTGAGTTAGGGCTAATTCCCAATGAAACTATCGGTCTACGTTGATCGATCCAGCTCCGCAAGGAATCTCGCTGAATGTAATGAGATCAGCAGGTTAACACGCCTCCTCCTCAGCCGTCCTTCAAGCGTTGAGTAGAATACAAAAATAAAGCTACTGATTATACAGTGTGTACGAGTGTGTTGACAACAGGAGGAGGCGTGTTAATCTGAATACTGCATTCAGTGAGAGTCCCCGCGGAGTTGGATCGATCTATCTAGAACAGTAGTTTCACTGAGAATGAGCCCTTAGATGATCAATACCTATATAGCCATAAAGGCATATATGGTCGGTAGGTTGACGCAATAGAAGGCTTGCTAAAATTTGGACAAGAATTGAAATGTGCTGTTATCATTGTGAAAATATTAATATTGCGATCGAATTCCGTTTCAGTATATATTTAGCCATTATACGTGTAAAAACATTCAATGTTAGCAAAAATCAGAATAAAGAAAAATCTTGACTTTTCTTTTCAAAATATTTCTACTGTCCACCAACCATTATCATGCACTTAAGATATCTTTCAGTGAAGAAAATCCACAATCATTTCATGTACCGATGACATTCATTGATTTTGCTTTTCAAACAACTTTATGTAGCGATTTCCTTTAGCAAAAGTAGCCATAGAGCTTTTGGAAATTTACTTTGCACACGGAGAGATTCCATGACAATTAAAAATCGCCCCTTTGATTACAAAATTGGCCAGCATGTTTGAAGACTTTCAAATTTATATCCGTTTAAATTATTTGCTCTACGGAAATGGTCATTAATCTGCGAGCATTTACTGGCAACTTAGCTCACGGAGAGATTCGATGACAATCAGAAACCGCCCCTTTGATTAGAAAATTGACAAGAACGTTTGAAGACTTTCAAATGCATGTCCGCTTAAATTATTGGCTCTACGGAAATGTCCATTAATCTGCCAGTATTTAATGGAAACTGGTCTACTTCAATATAGACTCTTTCGTATCGACAATACAATATACCACCTAAGTAAAAAGTTGTTATGACTATAAAAATCCAATTCTATAAACATAATGAGCAATCGATTTGCCAGTGTTGTTTCAACACAGCCTTACTGATAATAAGCTGGTAAAATATGTGTGGTATTGCATGAGGGTGTCTTAAGCGCTTAAAACATTCTCTACGTTTTGCATATAATTAAATTTGCTCTATAAGTCGTCTATCGACAGTCTTTAATATCGGGGAGAAATTTTTGAGAGTGAAACTGGCAGTGCATTTCCTCTATGAATCAACTTCACTGAATTTAGGTTAGCGGCAACAGGCCAAAATTTGCAGATTTAATTTGTCCATTCTTATGATATACACCCATATATTTGGGTCTGTGTAAAGAGGGGACTTTTTAGTAATTTGCACATAGAATTTGTAAGTGCGTATCGGAAAATATTTGTTGAATTATATCCTGCATCTGTTTAAGTGTTTTAACACTTTTTTTAACAATTAAAATTTAAAACACGTTTATAACGCAACGTGTAATTTTTATTTATAGATTTTTTTCAATTGCGCCTAAAAATTGAAAATGGCTTTAAAGCTGTTTTCACGATTTGCCGCTCAACTACTTCTATTAGATCCTTTCGAACCTTTCCTCCATACTTGTACCAAGACAAAGACTCCAAACACATTGGTAAAGTATCGACAGTTTTATAGGGTTTTGAAAATTGGACGACAATAACATAGTTTGGACGCTAATGGATGTTGAAAACAGCTTAATTTTACCATATAACGGTAAGTGTTAATGGCATTTTATTGACTTTCCCCCCTCATTAAACCTAGGCGTCCCAATAAAGAGAAAACATGACAGCCCAAGGATTGGATGGAAGACCAACGTACAAAAATGGACAGGAAGAAGCACTGATATTGCAGCCATATAAGGGAGTGATTGATGGATCTGATGTCCATTTCTTACGCACATGCAAGAGTAAATAGGAACACGTTGCCAATAGCTAAAGCTACTAAAGAATCCGATCTAGTCGGTTGTCTAGTACATTGTACCATTGAATTAGACTTTGTTGTTACCGTCTCACCAAAGACCGCCTTGTAACCAAATGGATCACATTGTGGAAAGAAACCAGAAAACGTCAGGATATCCAGCTGGTACGTTACGTGTGTGAAACTTAGTCAAAGTCAGAACCCGGGAAAGACACTCGATCGAAATTTTATCTAACAGAAATTACTTTGATTTTAAAGAAAGCAAAATTAATTTCTTTCAGAATTTCTGGTAAAGTTGGTAGATGGAAGGCCTGTAATCGAAATAGAAGACCATTTAATTCCATCGAAACCTTCTCCTGAGATTTGCACCAAACAAAACAAGTTTGAGTCATTTGCAGACCATAGGAAAGCGCTGGACCAGACTATGATGTCTGTAATCGACATAGAAGACCATATCATTCCTTCAAAACCTTCTCCAGGGATTTGCACCAAGGAAAACAAGTTTGACTCAGTTGCCTACCACAAGAAAGCCTTAGAGCAGGCTATGATGCACCGCGCTACGGAGATGGACATGCCGCATTTCAGCTTCTGGTTGGAGGCCATTATTGCCGACAAAGCCGACTTTG